AACGTTAGTGAACGAGGAGAGGTTGACAGCGTTCGAGATAGTGAGCTTAATGTACTACGTTGAGTCACAGGATGGGGCGTCAAATTAATGGAGCCCTATCAGAAATAAAGTATTTTTTACTAATAAATGTTGTTAAATTAGAAGGAAACACTAATAATAAGAAAAAGTATAACCACGTGAAAATAGTTACAACCTTCAGAAGAAGCGCCAAAAAGAATATATATGGTGTATATGGTGTAACTTGTAGATCATGCCTGTATAAATGGCGTGTACCTGCCCTTGCAGAAATATATTATTATTATTATTTTCCAGGTTGTCGGATGATACTGAAGATGTCATAGGTAATTGGAATTTGACAACAATTTGATCAGTGACACCTTCTACTATGAATCTTACCCACCTAGTGAACTCAGAAGTCAAGAGCCAGGAGGTTCGAAGATATATTTGACAGACTACCAATATATTAAGGATCGACTGATCTTGACTGGCTGCCGTTTGCAGGGGATGTTAAGCATGGCGTTCCCACTCATGGTCTGGTACGAATGCATGACCGAGAGCTTTCATCTATGTGAGTCCATTAAAACTAATGTGGTGAGTATGCAATGTGGAACACTTATGGAGCTATTGATTTTAAGGATTTATTTACTGCTATAAGACAATAGAGTATGTAGGGTTGGGTGCTGAAGAGTGGCAAATGTCATGTATAAACCAATAGATAATGACAGATTTTGATTTATTGAGCGTGATTCAGTTTATAAGTTGAGTTGTTGACATCTTTGGTGTTAATCCTTATTGTTGGAATACCTCAAAATAGATTTAGTAAAACTTCTTTGAACACCTTCGATTTTCGTCGAGTCACTACATCTGCAATAACTATAAACTAGAATACCATATTCAAAAACCGGTAAAATACATTTTGTATAATAAAAATCTAGGTTAGATGTTACTGAAATTTGTCATCATGGATGCGATTAGCTTTCTTGTTTGGATAATTGAGATGCGATATACTCGAAAAGTTCAAACTGTTGTTATACCTAAAACGCAAGTCATGAACATTGTTGATACGTTTCCCTGTTTTTATGTATAGCCAAGGCTGTGGCCATTGTAAATAAATTTACCTTTGTCAAAATTCTGGTAGAATTTGAGCGTTTGTTAACCGTGTTCTTTAAACAGATAAAACAGTTCGCCCTTATATCGTTGCTGAAATATGTAAGATATCCATCTTAATAATAAACAAACAAATGGCTAATGTGATAACAAGTACTGCACCTGAAAATGTACGCAGCAGAGCCTACAGTGCCATACAAAGCGTACATTATTTACGAAAGACATTTAGGAATGTTTGTTGAATGAAAGACTGTCTCGCAAAATCCACCACTGGTGTCATTTAATTTTCGGGACAGATTGCACTTTGGAACAGTGAACACAGAAAATTCAACAAAACCTGTTGACTTCAACCTTTACATACTGGGGATTGCTTTTGGTTCTTTTTAAGGTATAAATATTAGCTGGTTCATGGTAAACACGAAGGAAAAACGAACCTTCGTGTAATTCAGGACTTTATAACAAACGGTTTCAGATATTTTCATATTAAATTTAAATAAAAGCTGTAACAACTTACGAAATGATCCCGGAATTCTTGTTCTTCTGATGCAGCTTCTGGCTTATGGTCTATATAAAGTGTAAATATCAGCCTTTTCAAAATTGACTGTAAGATAAAGCAGTGGTGAATGGATTTAACTGTTTGATACCAGTTCTCAGGGTAGAAACTACTACTGTCAATAAAAAAACCACTTGTCCACATAAATGACTCTGCATTCTCTGTTATTTCTTCATTTCTATGCACATTACGGATAAGAATGAAATAGATTCAAATAGCTTATGTAAACAATGCGGTGTCATTGACAGTGATGCATTTCAATCCTTAAATGTTAAGAATCTTTGGCAACAAAAATCTTCTGCACAAAACCAGTGTTGTGGTTCATTTTCTCCAGTAAATCACCTTACTGGAGGTGCTGTCGTTTTACCACTAAGTGCAGCGTTTTACCGCGAAAAATGTTTAAGTAAGCGTTTACGCTTCATAAATGAACGTTTGCCTATGACCACTAACTCCAATGCTTATTTCTAATGCTTTCAACAAATATCACGAGTTCGTTTAAAAATCTATGGAAGCACATTGAGCTGGGTATCATATCACTCCTGCTAATAAGATTAATCGGGTTTGTACTACAGCTAGATTAGATAATCGACTGATATGTGGTCCATAGAAAGGATCATGTTATATCAGATACCCGATCCACAATCAAGAAACGAGGATGATGCATCATTCCACACAATTACAAACAATCTCTTAAAGCTAGACTAAAATGAAAATCGATTGCAGGAAAAAAATAGACACTAAAAAGTCAGTTAGCTACACACCCCTTCGTTCACACCCAGTGGCCGATCACATTTGCTTTCTCTACCACGCAAAAATTAAACTGAATGTTTGAAATCGAAATGGCTACTCAATCAATACTATTTATGTGAGTATTCTCAAAAAAGAACTTACGTTAATTCATGTACCATTAGAGCATATTTAAAACCACATTGATATAAGCCGAGGCGAGGACTCTAGTTCACTTCTAGGGGCCTAGTACTATACTAGTTAGTCTGCGTTGTCTGTATCATAAAACAACGCTTCAAATGATAAAGCTCTCCTACTAAATGTGTCTTATGACTTTGTGAACAATTTGTTTTAATTGCTATAAAATTAACAACAGGCAAATTTTAAGACACACGGCTCAGCCTGACGAAACACAATCTATCCACCAGGATTTTAGAAGCAAGTACCTCGCTCCGAAAGAACTCACAAATATTATTATCCATGAATTCCAATAGTCATCTGTCTGTGACTTGGAAAAGCAATGTTGAGGTAACTATTATATCATGCACGTTTGTGTGGAGTCAGGTCAGTAAATATGTGGTGACTACATTGATAACACATTCACAAAACTAACTCATGTCATCTAATGGGAGCAAAACTTCTGAAGATCTAGGAACTTCTGTAAAAACCTGCAGGCTTAGTATGACAACTTATGAAGGTGTGATCAGTGCTAGAAAAACTAGAGAAGATTGGCAGGGCGCAAGTGCGCAAGTGTGTTGCTAATGCTTCAGTGATCCTGAATCAGCAACTAGCCAGTAGGTAAAACTCCACTGAAAACAAAGGGGATGAAAATTTTGGCACAGTTATAAGTTGTCTGGCCAGTTTTTCTTTGAAGTGTTGGGAATGTGGTTTTCCATCAACTCTCACCAATGGCTCTCGGCCGGAAGTCGACATATAAAAACCACATTCAATGAGACGAATGATCAACTGTTTTTACGATGATTTGAGGTGGGTAAGAAGCGAAATGCTGGCAATTTCAACCGTGTGACGTACTCCTTCAAGGAGCGGGGAGCGTCAACGATTATGATGAATATTAAGATAACGAGCGGGAGTGTGACAAGGGTTCTTAAAGTCATGTCGCGTTGACCGAGGCTTTTCTTTAACGGAAAAAAACCTCGGTGTTGAATGTTTTCATGATCTCAAGAGTCCGGTCGTCTGATGCAACCAGTTCGTCTACAGCGTTTTTTTCAACTGAGACAACGACTGCCTGCACCTTTTGGGGAAGCTTAGACAAGAGGAGGTGTGAAAACAGGCCATCATCAAGGGGCAGTTGACCAGTGACCTCTATCATACGTAGCCACATTTCAGTTGCTGAATCCTGTTGCAAATCGATGTTGCAGGGAAAGTTGGTCTTACTTTGTTGGTCTGTTGGATCCCCACCTTTAGTGCTGTAGGGTTCAGAAACATCACTAGTAAGTATAATATACGTTACATACCTGTTAAATCGCTCGGTACTGTCTTCAATACTGCAAGGAATTGTGCACATGGGGCTGCAACTCCATGTTCACGGAAGTCGGTTTCTGCTTGGCAGAACCAAAAACTTATATTGTCGTGTGAAAGAGGGGAAAGAGTTCTAATTTTAAACAGCTTGAGTGTCTGCTCCGTCGTGATGAAGATAAGGTCTACAAATGAAAGGAATAATATTCGAGAATACCGAAACAATCTCACTTCATGTAAAAACAAAAATTAAAGAAAGGTACCTGACATTCGACCAAAGAACACATCCACAGCTTGTCATTTGGTGTACCAGATCACGTCGGTCTCATCACTAGAGATGCCACATTTACCTTAAGTTTGACAAGGCCTTCACACGTAACACATTTATAATCGAAGCCTGCCAGCTCAGTGAAAACAGAGGTCGGAAATGCAGTGGTATGAAGATATATTTGAAAGGCTATCCATGTATCGGGAGGCGTTTAGCGTCATCTGGCTAACAATTGCAACGGATGCGTAGCATTGCGTACATATGAATGGTCTGGTTCGGATGTCTAACTGATCGCCTTCAGCTAGGTGTCTCTAGTAAAACTAATGAGGTCGGAATCAACATCGAGGACTTACGGAACTAATTGTTTTGAGATGTATTTACTGCGATATGACAATTCTATTTTGGCTTCACAATTTGTAATTACAGTCTAAAAAGAAGTTAGCTCATTGAGTTTGAAGAATTAGGCTTAAATAAGATAAGTCTATATACGTTCTCTTGTTCGGACATATTTAGGGTTGGGGAAATGGAAACCGTGGTAACCATCAATAAGAAAAATTTAGAACTGATAATTAGCGATAGAGCTTGTTGCAGTTCAAACGTAGGAGATGAACTTCCAAGTGACTAGAAAACCTCATCATACCCAACATAAGCTTTGGATCATCTACTAGAAATAGGTACTTCAGGGTATTAACACTAACTGGATTATACTGGTTCATAATATAGCCACTAGCGGCACTTACTTGCTAATAACTCAAAAATACAACAGAGCAACTCAATAACCTGTGTTTCTTAGTTCTAATAAGTTTGGAAGATGCTTCATCTACACTCTACAGTCTCTTCATGTCACACTCTATTTATAAAATAACATTCCTTTGTTTGAATGGAGCTCTAAACTCAAAAGCGACACAGACAGTCCATTGAACCGCTGTTTTTGAAGTCCTGCAACAAGGGCTTCTTCGGGATATTTAGTTAGTTTAAAATGAGCGACAGAAAAAGTCGCAATGCATCCCGTGGAATGACCGAAGATAGGGTTAGAGGAGTAGTCAAATGGTTTAACGTCAAGGCTGGTTATGGCTTCATTACTCGTTCTGATACGTCTTCCGATATATTCGTGCATCAAACAGCAATTTCGAGAAATAACCCTGGGAAAATGCAGCGCTCACTTCAGGAAAATGAAGAAGTTGAATTTTTCGTTGTTGAGGGAGACAAAGGCGTGGAGGCCTCCGATGTTACTGGGCCTGATAGAAGGCCGGTAAAGGTGCGTTTTATATATCAAATAATCCTAAAATCCTCAGGGTAGTGCTTATGCTGCAGATCGTCCTTATGGGCGAAGCCCCAGGGAATATGGAGCGCGCGGTGATAGAAATGACTCAAATGGTTATAGAAGCAATGGGTTTGGATCGTATCGTGGAAGAGGCAGGGGTCGCGACGGGCCCAGGGTCAGTACTGGTGGTTAATATTTTTGGTTTACTCTAAGGCATCACGCATGTCAATATGCCATTGCATAGCTAAGGTCTGCTCTGATTATCATTACATTGACACAATGTAGACGCCAAAATGAAAGTAAAGGTCGAAACCGATAGTCTAATTGTTCATACCACAGTCCAGTCGCAATAAGCGTTAGATATAACTAGGCTATTTTTGATTACACAATTCTACACACTCGTACCTCTGTCATGGCAACTAACTCAAAATTGGTCTATATGGCGCAGATTCATCTATCGTTCCACTGATTGCAGTAACATTCCTCATATATCTTTCAAATCTGACTTCAAAAATCTCATCCTTAATGTCCAGTCTTCTCTTCAGCATCATTAATGCCATTTTACTCTTCCTTTAGACACTCATCTGATTAAGTCAAACTTTTGCCGATGTTGTGTAACCACGTGGACCAACACATAAGCAGTAGACTCGGCGTTAATCATGAGTAACTGCACTGTATTATAAAGTACGAACAAAATCCCTGAATTATGTCCAAACAAAAGTCCATCTTTTTCGCACTAATATTAGAACTGGTTGAAGTAGTAGTTTGCAGGTTACTCTATCCTAGAATTGGTATTCTTGCATCAGACACAACTGACACCTTAAGTATACCGGCTTCCCTACCTCTTTTATTTTCAGCTCAAAATGGTACAACGTTCGCTAAGACATCGAACATACCTAGCATGAAGGACGAAATTGTCAACATGCTCGAATCTGCTAAACTGGTGTGCACATAAAAGTGATATTCCTGAAGTTTACAACGTAGCTAACAAACATGCTAAGACAGCATCTGTCAGTATACACTGGATTATACATCAGCAAAGAAAATCGACAAAAAGAACTTGTCTGAGCCGTGTACATTTCCAAATTTTCGAGATTTTATGAATGCATCCATTCCTCGTTCTAGTGACTAGAGCTCAGCAACACTAATTTCTCCTGTCCATATTTGTACGCACGTGTATACGACTTACGTAAATAATTTCATGGGGCTTGATACTGCTATTCTCACTCTGCTAGTTTATTATATTTCTGTGTTGATGAGATGTGTGAGAACTTAAAAAAAATACACTTTGCAGAGATGCATCGTGACCTCGATCACTGTGACAATAAGGGGATCTTGTTGTGTTTTTTGCGAACCAACGTGTCTGGGGATCATATTGTTGGCAGGTTCCCAAAATATCGTCTTTATCAGCTTCTATTTCGTTTTCATAATTAGTTACGTTATTTTAAAAGCAAATTGTTCAGAGAAACTAATAATTATTTTATAATCGGGTATTAGGTTGGTGGTGATTTCTCAAGGAGATTTGACGAACGCAATCCACGCGATCGCAGCCGAGGATACGGAGTGAAGGACAATGGTGGTTATTACTCAAGCCCATACTAATTTCAATCTATGTTGTACATATTGCATTTTTAATGCCTAATTTGTACATTTTATCTCGAAATATCTTGTTCTAGTTGAAAGTCATTTTTCTGTGGATATCACGATATATGCATTTATATGTATCTAAATTAAACTTGCAATTCTCGTTTGAACATTGGGAATTAAAAAGTTAGTGACTGCATCTATCGTCTGGGTAAGCTTCTCTTGAAGCATATGTTTTCTTTGCATCAACGTATTTGCAAGGTAAAATCTATTCGATGGGTCGTTAGGTCACGATATCCTCTTACAAAGAATTCGTACAAAACCCACTCAGTGCCAGTGTGACACCTACTAAGCACAGGTTTGACTGTACATCGCACTATTATGCATCAATCGTGTGCACATTCTCCACGACAAGCGTAGTTGTTACATTAAATAGATTCTTCAGTATATGATTCTCGAGCCTCCGACGGTTTGATTACGAAATAAGCACGTGCGTGCTGTGTTCTCTTCATTTTAGGAAGCTAGGGTTAAAATACTGACATAGTTTAACGGCTATTACAATCTGTGCATGTTTTCAAATGCCTCCGTTTAATCCTAAACATGCCTATTACTATGTTGAGCGTTTACCTTGAACCCATTACCAGAAACCTAAAATGAAAAATTTAACGGTATTGTCTGAATTGTTAGGTTTGTGGTTACTTCGCCTGGATCAGTCCGCTTACGTATACAATCCAGTTGTGAGCATTTTAGCCCTCAATTAGTGCTGAGATGGTGTGCTTGCACATGATTCCAGACTCATTCTGGTCGGCATTTTTTACAGATGCTGAGAATAATGCTAATTAGGTCTAGGATTATAGCTTCACACAAATTCTGTGCTAATCTGTTGTCGGATTAGTTATGTGATGGCACTTATTTCGAATCGTGCTATTTTATATTCGGGAAACGATTTTCATGGTAAAGACATTGTGTTAAGTCACTTGGTCTGTTTACCTAATTAATCTTCACAGTTAGGAACAACAAGACAACGCATGCGTACTCCAATTAAATACGTGAAAATTTTATTAGAAACTAAACATGTCCTTCATACACATAGTTTAGCTAATTCATCCCGGAGTTGTTTTTCACTCGCAATTTTGTCCAGTTGGTTATATGCCAAAGATTTTCCGGATGCTTGTTCTGTTTTCAGTTTCTCAATCTGCGTCAGTTTCTGTTATTAACCAAGGGGGAAATAATGCAAAATATAACTGTACGCCATAATGTAATTTATATACGTACTGTTATGATTTGTAATCCGGCTTGCTTTTTACTAATTTTTTATAAGAAGTTCTGTCAAGACAACTGGAGGTTCCATATTTTCATGCTGTAAGATCGACCACAATGGCTTAGATGTATACACACTTCGTCTCCCCTGAAATCGTGAGATTGCTTTATATCTTTCTTTCTATGAACTAATTCTTCCTTCTTGTATTATACCCTTACACCCAATCTTTCATTAATTACTACCACTGAAGTAACTACTATGGATTCAGTGTTCATTTTCTTGTGCTAATGAGGTGTGGCATTTTGGACCGATGCATATATGTGTCTCGTCCAACGTTGTAGCTGACTGACTCTTATAAGATTAAGCTCTAGGGATACGTTTGTACACAGCTAGGAGTAAATCAACTAAATAAATGGCCCTTACTTCATAGTCATTTAAAAGTTAGGTTACCAATATGTCACTGTCATTCAAACGCATGTATATGAAATCCGTCATGCATGTTATAAGCAAGGAATAGAAGTTTATATGTAAACACCACTAATCGAGATCATTGAGTTCATTCACATCCGTAAATGTACTGACGATTGATAAGGGTTATGTATAAGATAAATCATGTGAATCAATTAGTTTGAGGTCGTGAGTGACATATTCCGGAATCAATCTTGATACACATATTTGTCCAAGCCTCAAGGATACTACTGCTACTCATCATTTGCAGTCATCTGAACGGAAATGTCTGTCAGTTCTTTTTGTTGATTGCGTCTGTTCTAATATAAAGGAAATGTATGAAACTGTTTAGCCTTTAGGTTACGGACAGTGGCGAATAAGTGTAAGTTGAACGTTGTAAGCATGATATCAGACATATTATGTAAGTCAAGGGGTTCGATAGAATGCGACAATGAACTCACCTTATATATCTGATTTACTTGCTTTTGGTTCTTCGGGTCTGATGCAACTGGGTGAGCACATTTATTATTGGATGAAGCTGGATATGTGCCACCAGTCGGGGCAGATTCATTAGAAGATAATGTGGTTTTATGATTTGAACCAGTAGCTGAAAGAAGATGCAAAATAACAAGTTAGAGAGTTCTGGGGAACTTGCTTTCATCACGTTTTAAATTTCTATCATTCATTAAAGAACTAACAGTTTTAGATTTAGCGAGTTCACTGAACTCGACAGCAGTTAAGTCCCATGCCTACATAAAATAGAAATAAAAAGAATGTCAGGTAACGAAAATAATTGAGGTGAATTCGCGAATCCAGTTTCACACATGGATGGAAGATGGTAAACCATAATAAGTCTAGTACTAGACAGTAAGCCATTTTTCATAAGCAAGTGAGTTTGAGAAACTCCGTGGCTATATGACAAAAAAAACTAGTTGGTGTTTTTTAATAGGTAGTTTCACCACAAGATAAGGTCATAATTGAAATTACAAACTAAGACAACTACAGGGAACCCAAAAGCACTAGACAGTCGTCTTGTACAAGTCCGGTGATCTTCAGGAGTACGTGGCCGAGACCTCCAGTCTAGGCCTCAAACGCTTAGTCTCCTGACCACTGGAGTCAGGGTTTAATCTCCGCAACCTAAGTTGCTACACCAAATCAATGCGACAACACGAAGTTAAAAAGGTGTGAACACCAAATAGAGTCGAAGTAGTCTTCGTTTCAATAATAATGTTGTTCAAAAACAAACGGTGAATTCGAGTTTGAGACATACGAAATAATGGTAAACTCCAGTTTTAGGAGTTTAGGGGCAAATAAGTCCCTTAAAATAAATAGCTTTGTAAGTTCTCGACTGAAGGTACTCAGCCGGGAATTCGCACCAGATCACTTTTGGACCCCCAGTGCTGTGCATTTCTTGAGATAACTAAGCTTACATTTTAAACATTGCGATATTACAACCTATGATTCACGTATGTTTTGAGCTACATCATTCTTGACTTTTGGTTTGGTTGGATGACTTCGAGATCATTAGTCAGAAAAGATTAAGGACAGCAGTGCTGCTAAACTTTGCGTATCCGTGACATCTTTGAAGAGAAATAGACTGTATCAATAATCTGTTCTGAATAATGTATCATTGTGTCTTCACCCACAAGTCGCTTCTATCATGGAGGATTCGAACCATGCAGTTTTCGTCATCCATGATGGCTCAATTCGAGAATGTTTCTAAGGATTGGTTCATCTTATAGATACCAATCTAACCAGGCGAGCATCGTATACTGACTTAAGCGGTGGTTCAGTTCAAGTGACAAATGACGCAACCACCTCAATTAATGGTAAATCACAACCTCATTGATCGCGACACCATCATTGGTTAGATTCAACAATACTTCAGGGAAACCTGTGACTAAACACTTCTAGTCTACGTGTCATCTGCGTTTCACAGTTACAGGACGCAATGAATAGCATTAGTTTTATGAGACTGATATTTAGTGACTAGAAATCTTGATTGGCACTATAGATTTTTCGACCGAGATAGTCAATACACTAGCATGAAGCCTAAACAAGTCCCGGGTTTGACCCCTAATGAGATGATGAATGCGCATAGTAGGATGAAACAGCTGTCTAACGTACTTTCGCCCGTTACTCCCAATGGAGCATAGGCCACCGACCAGCTTTCTTCCACCCACTCTGTCCTGGGAATTCTTTACCATTTCTATCCAGTTCTTGTTCATTCTTCTCATGTCTGTCTCTATTTCCCGGCGTAATGTGTTCTTTGGTCTTCTCCTTCGACCTTCAGGATTCCATGTGAGGGCTTGTCTTGTGACGCAATCGGGTGATTTCTTCAAACTGTGCCCAATCCACTTCCAGCGCTTCCTCTGCTGGAATCTGGTTTGTTGTGTCATACAGTAACTTGTTGCTGATAGTGTCTGGCCATCGGATCCGAAGTATCTTGCGTAGACAACTGTTGATAAACACTTGTATCTTCTGGATAATGGCTTTCGTAGTTCTCCACGTCTCCGCCCCATACAATAGAACTGTCTTCACATTTGTATTGAAAATTCTAACCTTGGTGTTGGTTGACAATTGTTTTGAGTTCCAGATGTTTTTTAATTGTAAATATGCTGCTCTTGCTTTGCCGATCCGCGCCCTCACATCTGCATCTGATCCACCGTGTTCATCAATGATGCTGCCCAGATATGTAAAGGTTTCCACATCCTCCAAAGCTTCTCCGTTAGTGTAATTTGATTGGTGAATATTGTGTTGTATCGGAGAGTCTAGCTTTTCTCTTTGTTTATATTGAGATCTACTGCTGCTGAGGCTGCTGTTACACTGGTCGTTTTCTCCAGCATTGCGTTGTTGTTGCGTTTGTGATAGAAGAGCCAGATCATCTTCGAAGTCTAGATCGTCAAGTTGCATCCTGCCTGTCCACTGTATCCCGTGCTTTCCTCAAGTCGTTGACGTCTTCATGATCCAGTCGATCACCAGGAGAAAGAGAAACGGTGAGAGTAAGCAACCTTGCCTTACACCGGTCTTTACTTCAAACGAATCGGTGAGTTGTCCTCCGTGGACGATTTGGCAGTTTAGTCCATCATAGGAGTTTCGTATGATATCGACTATTTTCTCAGGCACGCCGTAGTGTCGAAGAAGCCCCCATAGTGTCGTCCTGTCCACGCTATCAAATGCCTTCTCGTAGTCGATGAAGTTGATGTAGAGTGATGAATCCCATTCGATTGGTTGTTCCACAATGATCCGCAGAGTTGCGATTTGATCTGTGCACGATCTATCCTTACGAAATCCAGCTTGTTGATCTCGAAGTTGGGCGTCCACGGAATCCTTCATCCTGTTTAACAATACTCGGTTGAAGACTTTTCCTGGTATTGAGAGAAGAGTGATGCCCCTGTAGTTGTCGCACTTGCTAAGATCACCTTTCTTTGGTATTTTGATCAGAAGTCCTTTTTTCCAGTCTGTTGGTACTTGTTCTTCGTCCCAAATCTTACCGAAGAGGATGTGGAGTATCTTGGCAGTAGCTGCTACATTCGCTTTCAGTGCCTCTGCCGGGATGTTGTCTGGTCCCGCTGCTTTGCCACTCTTGACTTGTCTAATGACCATGCTGATCTCTTCAATTGTTGGTGGGCCAACATCGATTGGGAGTCTGTGGAAGCTGCTAGGTGGGATCAGTGGATCTGGTCGATTCAAGAGTTCTTCGAAGTGTTCTACCCACCTGTTTCGTTGTTCTTCAATGTCGGTGATTACTTTGCCTTCCTTGCTTTTCACTGGTCTTTCTAGCTTACGGTAATTTCCAGCAAGTTTCTTGGTTGTATCATACAGTTGTCTCATGTTTCCCTCTCTTGCAGCCTTTTCCGCTGTCATCGCTAAATCTTCCACATATTTACGTTTGTCGGTCCTGATGCTCCTCTTCACTTGCTTGTTTGCCTCTATGTATTCGGCTTGTGCCTTGGCTTTTTCTGCTCTTGTTCGGCTGATATTGATTGCTACCTTCTTGTTCCTCCTTGCTTCAATTTTATCCAATGTACCAACAGTGATCCATTCCTTGTGACGGTGCTTCTTTTGGCCCAGAACCTCCTGACATGTTGAAACGATTGTCTCCTTGATACCTTTCCAGTTGCTCTCCATGGTAGTTCCCTCTCCTTTGAGTAGATCATGAAAGGCCTCGAACCTGTTGCTGAGGGCTATGTTGAATTTGTTGAGTTTGTCAGCATCTCGAAGAAAGGCCGTATTAAACTTTTGTGATATTGTTCGCCCCGTTGTCCAGTGCTTCTTAAGTTTTAGTTTCATCTTGGCGACCAACAAATGATGATCGGATGCTATATCAGCTCCTCTCCTGGTTCTCACATCCTCCATCGTCCTCCTGAACTTTTTGTTGATGCAGATATGGTCGATTTGATTCTGTGTAGTGTGATCCGGTGAAATCCAAGTGGCTTTGTGTATGTTTTTCATCCATCAGCATCAATGCAACTCCTTGTGTATGTGGGGCATTTTCTTCTTCATGACCGGAGTATAACAGAAGTTCTCCTGAAGTCAGTCGTTGTTGTCCAACCTGCGTCCAATGCGTTTCACTGATTCCAAGCACTTCCAGGTTGTATTTTCTCGTTTCTTCAGCAATTTGGAAGACTTTTCTGGTCTCCTACATTGTCCGGACATTCCATGTACCTATGAAAATTGTCGCTCTGGTTGTAAGAAGGTTCATCGGCCTCATGACTTCCGAATGAACTCGGCTTTCATCATGAGACGTTATAATTATTCCTTCTACTCCCAGGGCATAGTTTAAATGGTTTGAATGATTTTTTCTGGTTAGCGTTTTTTTAGCGAGTTGATTTTCTACGGGATGGGGTCGCTAACCCCATGCCCAACCCTCCTCCTTCACCCGGGCTTGGGACCGGCAGCAACCCCCAGAGGAGCTACAGGCGGAGTTAGCTGTCTAACGTTACGAACCATTTACTGTAGTTTTAATTTTGAAATCATGCTTTTCTGAAAATTATTGTCGCAAGAACGTTTAAAAAGGTAGTTACAATGCTTGTTTTGAATAAATTGTGTTGAATAACTGGTTTATTACATTGTTAAGACATTTAATTCACGTAAACGCACAGGACTTTTGAATACTATCTGTTTAGTCCTCTTATTATAGTAAAAGTAGATTATTATTCGTAAATACAGTTCGATTTGATGTTTAATTTTTTTCTGACTGACATTTGAGTAGTTCAGTCAAGTTTACAAGCATCAATTCCATGTCATACATACAAAGTGACTTAAAACAAGTTTTACGGCTGCCAAGGTTTCTTAATCTTTACAGTTAGCTCTAAATAAATTAAATGTGCCCTTTAACCAGTTCTAGTTGGGTTTTTTTTAACAGTGTGACCTTCTATTATTGTACTAAATGTTGAAAACAGACTTATTGTTCTAGGTCACATGCTTTGTTTACGATGACTAATATAGACAACATACATACATCTGAGGTCATTAAATGTCCTTTAGTTGTTTATGGCTTTTAATACATGAAAATCAGTTGTATGTGAGAATTATTGATTATTTTCATTTACTTTTGATAAGCGTCTTAGTTGGATTATGATTATATAGTTATAATTTTTGATTTGTATGAAAATAATTTTCGAAAAAAACCAATCCTCAAAGTAATAAAATAGATTAGAAATAAGATAAATTATTTCAGTGAACTTAAACTTTTTCAACTAAGATTAATTATTAGTTGAAATTATGAGGCAATTGAAGCTAGACCACCATGGAAAACCTAGAAGCATTGAACGCCCGTTTCGTCCTATTGTGGGACTCAACAGTGCGCATCCACGATACCGCCTCGCGAGATTCCATTAATTAAAACAGCTTTGCACTTCCATTCAAAGATTTCTAATTATTCGAGAACTAAATCTACTATATATACGCTTTTTATTCTTCACAACATATGTAAATTGATAGGTATCAAAACAAGATGGCTAAGCATACATAAAAAATTAAGAGTTTAATATCGAAACCTATTTTACTATGATCAATATATGTCTAGGTTAGAATTTATTTCCAATTAATATCATGGAAATATTTCGAATTAAGATTAACAATATGAAATATTAAAAGTTGAATTCATCAGTCAATCTAAGCTAGATTACCACTGAAAACCTGGAGTACTAGTGAGAAGCCGTAACCAGTGGAGTCCAATCCGTGTTGGGTAGAGACAGGTATCTATCTCAGACAATTAAGGATTAGTTGCGCAAGATCATGGATCAACTGAAGTTAGACATTAACACCGTTGGATGCCGGCTCAGTGGTTTAGAGGTTAAGCGTTCGCCCGCGAGAATCGAAGGCCCTGGCTTCGAGTTCCCCATGAGGGATTGTCGATTTGCACTGCTGAGTAGTCCTATACCAGGATGAAACGGCCGTCCAGTGCTTTCAGGTCTTCAATAGTTGTCTAGCTTAGATTGGCTCATGAAATCAACTGTTAAAATTGCTACAATCTCCACAAACTCCCATTCTGATAATAAGAGATCTATCAAAATACCATATTTCTATAACATATCAAAATGAATGAAATGTTATTAAACAACCAACATACTTTTGCTTGCATTCAGTTTTCCAATGTTAGAATTATTATTGCTAACAGAATGAGTAGAAATTTTACTATGATCAATCATATTAGATGACTTCAATGATTGTACAGCTACTGCAGAACGATTACGAAGAACTGGAGGTACGTAAACCGAAGCGCGCTTATTTACCGAATTTTCACTAGCCTTTAGCGAAAAAAGAATAATGATTAATGCACACAATGAAATAGAATTGAGAATATATTGCTATGTAAATAAAATGTTTGAGTATGAAATATATGAGAGGGCGAAAGAGTTTTAAGCATTATTTCATTTATGTATTGTTTGCTTGAATCTTTCCATTGATGTTTAGGACTGCGATTGATCAGTCCCTTATTGGCATATGCACATACTGTGCAAATTGCATCGATATTGCCCTAAGTCACAAGCGTTACAAGCAAAGACGGATGGTGGCTAGCAGTGAGATTCTATTTGTAACTCGTCAGCTGGTTATACCTGCTTCCCAGAGTTGATGTTCACTCCGCGAATCGTACACAGTACTAATCACTTCAAACATCATAGCGTTATTCACTTAGCATTCTGCAGGAAAATAGTTGTTTATGTTTATAGAAGCAACACATATTTCACAGTGCTCATCTGATCAAATAGACGAACATGTATTTTGTTGTTAACAATGAAATTTCAACTCATGATCAATATATGCTCTAAATCATTATTTAATACACACGTTAAGTTATGGTTGAATAAGTTAATTTGCGTTGACTTCGATAGAATCAAGTTTTCTCAATTCACCAAATTCATGAGTAAAATAATCGTTACCTTACTTTCGTACGTACTTACACCTGTTACCCCTACGTCTCGTGGATATAAGGCTAACCACCAGCACTATCCATCCAACTCTGTCCTGGACAATCCTTTCCAGTTGTTCCCAGTTGCTATTCATCCTTTTCATTTCTGCTTCGAATTCTCGGCACATTGTGTTCTCTGGTCATCCTCTTCTCATTTCCCCTTCAGGATTGCCTCGTGATGCAGCTTGGTGGTTTCCCTAATGTATGTCCGATCCACTTCCAACGTCTTTTCCTCATTTCCTCTTCAACTCGAAGCTGGTTTGTTCTCTCCTAAAGTCAGTTGTTGCTAATGGTATCAGGCAAACTGACAGTCGGTAGCTTGCGTAGACAATTGTTTGTAAACATTTGTACTTTTATGATTATGGTTGTGGTAGTTCTCCAAGTTTCACCTCCTCATAGTAGAACTGTCTTGACGTTCGTATTGAAGATTTTGATATTGGTCGACAGTTATTTTGAGTTCCATTTGTTCTCCAACTGTAGGAATAACGCCTTTACGTCGGCATCAGATCCTCCTTGTTCATCGATGATGCTAACCAGGTACGTCAAAGTTCCAGAGTTTCTTCATCAAGTGTAATAAGGTTGGTGTTTTCTGTATTGTATTTGAGGATTTTTGACTTTCCTTTGTGCATGTTGAGGCGTACTGCTGCAGAGGTTTCCGCTACATTGGCTGTCTTCATCTGCATTTGCTCGTGTGTATGAGCTACGTCATCGATGAAGTCCAAATCGTCTAGTTGCAACCAAGTTGTCCACTGTATTTCGTGCTTCACTTGGGATGTGGAGGTCTTTAAAATCCAGTCAACCACCAGAAGATAAAGAGAGTAAGCAGTATTGTCTGACTCCGGTCGTCCCTTGGAATGCGTCTGTCAGCTGTCCTCCACGCACGACCATGAAGTATAGTCTGTCGTATGAATTCCGAATGATGTTGACGATTTTCTCAGCTACTCACACCACAGTGTAGAAGGAGGTTTCATAAGGTACCTCTATCCACACTGTCAAATGCTTTCTCATAGTCAAGGTAGGTTATGTATAGGAACGAGTTCCATTCAATGGACTGTTCAACAATGATCTGTAGTTTCGCGATTCGGTCTGTGCACGACCGATCCTAACGAAATCCAGCTTGTTGATCTCGAAGCTGGTCGTCCACTGAATCTTTCATCCGGTTCAGTAACATTCTGTTGAAGACTTTTCCCGGTACCGATATTGTGAGATGCCTCTGTAGTTCTCGCACTTGCTCAGATCTCCTTTCTTTGGTATCTTGATGAGGTATCCTTCTTTCCAGTCTGTTGGCACTTGTTCTTCCTGAACAGAACATGGAGCATGTTTGAATTTGTTTCTATGTCTGACTTCAGTGATTTCGGTGTTATGTTGCCAGGTTCTGTTGCTTTCTCATTCTTGATTTGTCTGATGGCCATCCTGATATCTCCGATCGTTGGTGAAGTAACAGCTACGGGAAGGTCTGTGTGTGCTGATTCGATGTCCGTTAGGTTCAGTAGGTCTGCTTTATTTAAGAGTTATTCAAAGTCTTATACACTCCTTTTCCTCTATTCTTAAATCTCAGTAATCGGCCTCCTCCTGTAGCTCTTCTAGGGTTACTGTAGGTCCCAAGCCCACACAAAGGGAGGTGGTTGGGCATGGGGTCAGCAACCTCATCCTGTAGAAAAAAATCTTGCTCGAAAAACGCTATCATTATCTAGAGGGTATATATCATCGTAAACGCCGTATCAAGTATAACTGCTCTCTCTCTGCTTATCTAACTTTTTGTCTGTTATCTCAATTGGCTGGTTACTAAGTAAATCTTAGTATTCAGAGAAACAAATCACCTGTTAATAACTAATTCATTTAAAGTAATACAGCCTTGTTTATTCACTTTTATACTGTTTCATTTTGCGAATACAAAGTAAAGTTCTCAATATAATTAAAAGTATAAAATTTAAAAACTCACAGATTCAAACTTTTTCGGTTCAGGAGCAGATTCCAGTTTTGTTGGAAATATAACTGAAACTTGATATAATTCATGATCAACTGCAGCAGGTAAATCTGGTGTAGCTGCTCTAGGAACAGCACGTCGTTCAACGGGTCGATAGGATAATTGTTTACCACTATAATGCCATATTCCAAAGCTATTAAAGTTAAGACAAGAATTATTTAATGAAATAAAACTTAAAATTCACTCATGATTAATGAAGAATAGATCATAATAAAAATAATACGTTCATTGATATACAGTGATTCGACATCAAGCTGGAAAAATTCTAACTATATTTTGAATCACCTAATAATAAGACAAAGAATCAATACGGCTGAAAGAATAGACTATGCTGACGTTACTATAAAACTTATTTGATTACATAACGTAATCAAGTATGGGTTCTTTGAGTTGAACTTTTTTTCATGAAGGTCAAAAGTATTAAGCGATCATACAAATCGAAGTATGTCATGTATAATACAAAAGAATTCATGATTCACTGGTTGCAAGGTGAATATTCTAATGCCGATGTTTTCATTTTTTGGGGTTGATAGCTTTAAAACGTTCCAGTAGTCAATAATTAATCAATATAATGCACAAAACCACACAATTTTCGCAGTTAGTAAACGAATTTAAATACATAAACAAATAAAATTAATCGATTTGACACAATTCCAATTTTACAGAGTTTGCGAACATGATAAATAAATGTTTGGTAAAAATGACAATCAAAACTAAACAAACGGATTTGAATATATATATTAAACAACATACAATTGAGTGATGAAAATTTTGTGAACATTAAAGCTACTATGGTTTAAATTTATTTATCACACTCGTTAGCGCGTATTAGTGAACAAACTTTTACCTCTCCTCACTTTGTACTCTTCAAACGTGTTACTTAATAATGATATGATATAATCGGTTATTATTGTTGTTTTAGGATGGATAATAAAGGTCAGTACATTGTTCAATGACTGTTATTTTAATAAGAGGGAGTTCTAGTAATCATGCTATCATCACTTTAGTTTCAAATTGTTTGGACATGGTTACAACCAGGGATAATTTATTTCTCAGCATGCTATGTCTTTAAATCTTTGGAAGAAAAAAGTAAGTATACACCGGGACACCTAAACTAATCACTATTTTGTTGATGTTTATGGTCATACCGTTGAAATTCATCGTTAGAAGCAAAAGAAAAAAGTCATAGTCGTTTTAAAGTCAGTCACTTCGTTAAATCTAGTCATGATTTTATCATTTTCAAAAGGACAAACAACTGCGAAGAAAATCATCGATTGAAAAATTGAGCATAGAAGAACATGCAGTTTCATAAAATAAGAACAGACTGATAATAGTGTTGATAGATTAACGATGAAGCAGAATAGTTGTTGTCCACTGAGACGGCAGTTAGTGTAATCGATGGGAACTTTATGTTCGAAAAGTTTATGTTAGATTTATGATACGGTGAATTCAATAGACAGTGTTCTGGAATAGAATATAGATTGGAGTGATGATAATCATGTAATGCCAGTCCTGATTGGTTATATTTAGGAAGGAATGATAAAAGTTACTTATATGAACCTGGACAAAAAATGAATACGTAGGACTTCTATTATGATAGTGAAAATCCCTCATTTGGTGAATAAGGTAATACAACCACAACAAGAATGAAAAAGGGCGAAGAGATCTGTGGCGTAAAACGATATCGGAACTAGTAGGGAAATAAGGTAACCACACATAAAAACGGCAGATTAACAATAGAAAAAATCACAAAATGATACATCTCTAACACAACTGATCTAGATTCTGAGACGATATGTCGTGAACCAACTACCATATCCCGGGTCTAAAGAAAAGACTGTCAATAACAAAGACTATTTGTCACAGTTATTTTGAAGGCAGGTGTAAAAAAAGTTAAAGGTAGAAAATCAGGGTAGACGAAAAACTAGGTAATGAAGATAGGATTTGATTGTGAATGATGTGAACTAGGAAGCTATTAGCAGGATGGAAGAGACTGTCACCTTCTCGCTGCCTACATCTTGGTAAAATTTTTCTTTCTGATGTACCTGAAGAAAAGGAACTAGATTAGGGGAAGTCTTGAAGACTTAGAAACTTAACGTCAGTCAGTCTGATGAAGCAACGTCTTCTATTCCGACTTTTGGTATTTCATACAATCAAGAATCGATGAATTCTTCGAGCATAAAAAACATACTACAAAAAGTAACTAACCCATTATTTACACGTAATCTTGGAGTTGTTGTAGCAAATATTAAATGTTCACCATCCAGTAACCATTGAACACTTGTCACATCGGTTGTTTTAAATGAAGATAAACGTTCATGAGTTGAAAAATCCCAAACACACATATCGCCTGACAAATTACCTAACCCAGCTAATAACAATAGTAAACTATAAGAAAAATAAATTAATAATGAGACGGTTAAGGTGAAAGCAGGGACTTTCATTACTGTTTCTTACTACTTGAATTTACTCTATAAAATTGGGTTCTTTCAACAATCATACAAGGAGTAAAAGACCGACGGTAGCATGGTATTTTGGTTAAATCAAATAGTATTTTAGCATAATTTTGTTGCAATGATGGTTCATGAGACTGTAAATAAAGCAAGATAAGTAAGATATTTTCACTAGTAAAGCAATATTGAAGTAAAACCTTCAGCTACTCGTCAATCTGATCACATACGTACATGAGTTACGTTGACAATGACAAACAGTTTAAAACTGTCATAGACATACTTTTTGGAAAATTGTTAGATAAGAAAGCTAAGATAAAGCTGCAAGAGTTGAAATAACTAGAATATCATTTGGCGACCTCATATATCTCTAAGGCTTATCTTTCACAATCGTTAGTTAAACTTAAATCAATTTTTGACTGAATAAAATTGTCACAGATTACATTCATCTATATGAAGATATAAATTATTGGATAACCATAGAAATGTTTAGTTATACTAAAATATCTGTTGCAAGTGTCAGATACCCCAAACGATGACGGGGTACATTGAAGTTTAACGACTCAATTTAAAGCATAGATTGCCTGAAAGTAAATTTTGGCAGACAACTTACTCGCTGAATGCTTGTTGTTCCTTTATTGAACTACAGATTGTATATATTCGTACTTAAATAATGTTAGAACATGTGGTAATTTATTTATTGAGAACAACTAACTAATTGAAAAAGTAGCGTGTTCGTGATGTTGTATAAATTTATGGGAAAAATCATCACCACCCTTGCAAACTTTATTTTATACACTACATATGTTTGAAACTATGAAGTGAATTAATTAAGGCATTTTTGCATTGATTCCAAAATAAGATCACAACAATGGTGACCGTCTGTATGCGTCCGTTTTTCATTTATGCCTGTTAACCCTCATGGAGTACAGTCCTCCGACCGAGACTCTTAAACTAACCCACCCATGAATCCTCCTTTTGAGTTATTTCGAAGTTCTGCTCATTCATTTGATGTCTACCTCCAATGCCCGACACCATGTGCTCTTTGGTCTGTCTGTTCTCCTTTAGCCTTGACGATTTCAAGTTAGAGCTTGCTTGATTATACAGTTTGACAGTTTCCGTAAACCGTATACTACCCACCTCCACTACCTTTTTTAACTTCCTCATCAACTTCCAGCTGATTTATTCTCGCTAACTGCTGCGACATTGGCTGTTTTCAGCTGTATTTGTTGTTATGTAAGAGATATTCAAGCTAGGTCATCTGGAAAGTCCAAATGTCTGTATGCAAAAGATTTTGAAGTCATTTCCTTAGCAATGAATAGATACAAAAATTATAAATTGTTTTCTTAATATTGCAAGATAACCAGATAAAAGTTATTGTGATATCATTTGCCATTGCCTATGATAATTATCTGTAGAAAAAGAACTGCAATCACATTTACAATGTACACATATACATGAAAGTAAATTTATTCATAAAATTAATCAGTAAATAAAGGATATGATTTCCATGAGGATTAAAATGAATTTCATTCCATGAACCTGTTCCAAAATCGTGAACTGGTTCACAGTTCAAATTGAATATTGTCACAGATGCTGGTGTAACTAAAATATTGAATAGAGAAGAATAAAATAATATTAGAACTATTGGTTACATTATATCTATTAATTGAAATGTCCATAGTGAATTTAATAGCTAGTCTAATTGAAAAAAATTAGTTTCAATATACATATGGTTAATGAATGAGATTGATACATTAAAAATTATGAACAGTATCTACTTTGTGAAGGTTTATGACATTTACCAGTGATAATTACATTACATTTTTATTTCTAGATAGAAAAGATCTAAATGTCAAAATTCGCAATATAAACAATAAAATTGTTCGGTGAAATCAAAATTGTTTCCTACACATCTGATGATCACTCCAAGATTGAAAGATGGATTGCATATACTAGTCACTTCTTTCCGTATCTACTAATTCAACTGCTCCTGTGGAGCAAGTTATATTGGCAGGTGTTCTAGGAATTTATATTTTCGGACTCGAGAGCACCTCCCAGCGTGGCTAAGCAGAGGTGTAACCAAAACTTTAAAACAGCTCCATTTTAGCTCATTTAGTTCAAACGGGCTATACAGCCAACATGGAACAATCTTTCACAATAATGTATCATGTTAACAACAGTCTGCCTAAATCTGACAGACTGAGAATCCTGTAGACGGCTGAAACAATTGCTATTCGGATCAAAACCCCAGAGCTTTACGCTTAGAAGAAATTTTTTCAACCTCTCATTTTACTTTGGGCAATTTCAGGCCTAATTAGTTAACAATCAATTCTATGATGTAGAGATGTAAATTGATTAATGTCCAGTTTCATATCTTAAACCTATCTTATCCATATATCTTATCATTGTTATAAATGTAGTGAACAAAATACGACTGGGGACAATCGAATGTATTTAAGCAAACATTACAGACTATCTCGGTAAATTCTGATAACCAAACAATGAACAGTCAATTTGCAAATTAACAACCAATTTTTTCAATCTTCACTGTTTCTTCTCTAATTCCATTGCTCATGCATTTTCCATACGATTGCGCTTCAGTTATAACACCTGCCAACCACTTTGAGAAATTTATCCAACATTCACCCCTATTTACTAATTCGTACTCAATTCACATTATTCTAAATATTACGTAATTTCTGATTTGTAATTACATTATTCACTTTCTCGCCCCATGTTCATTCTGATCATATATCTCACAATTTCATTTGACGTATAAGCTTATTCAAGTTAACAATTCATATTATTCCCCCCAACATTAACGACTTAGCAACAAAAAGCTTCAATAAACTCATTATTTCAACTATAAAAGCGAAAATATCAGACATCTATATGATATAAAGAAGAAACCGGCAGGGAAATATGGTAAACCAGAGAGACCGATCAAGGACAAAGAAGGAAAGACAATCAACGAAATTCAAAAACAGAAAAGCAGGAGAGTAGAAGACTTCAACTCAAAGAACCCATACTTCGTTACGTTATGTAATCAAATGAGTCTTATAGTAACGTCAGCATAGCTTATTCTTTCAGTCTTATTGATAGTTTGTCTTTAAAATGATGTACTTTGCCTTATACCTGGTCAATTTTACGGATTATTAATTTGGATACATAATTGTAGAACCTAATGAGGAATTATTGAATATATTCTTCATTCATATAATTGTGTTTCAATATGAAGAGACTTTTCCAGCGAATAATGATTGTCATGTAAATCGTAGCTAAAATAATACTTATTCTCTCTCAAACAATTCAGAACAAACAACAGTGATTTCACAAATTAATGCATTAGCTTACTTGTAACAAATAGCACTTAGTCTTTCTGATGTTGGTTTGTTCTCTGAGCTGGGTGGTTTGGTCGTGGAGCTTTCATCGTCCTTCTGAACGACATCATCAGCACAAACTTCGGGTAGAAGTGGAGTGTTTGAATTTCTCCACATGTGATTCACAGCTTGTCCTCTGCACCTCGATGTTGATTGGTTCTTATTGACCTTAAATTTGTCATTGTTTATTTCTTTGTTTTGGTTGTATCTCCTATTGAATGTTCCTAATCTGATCAATTCCTTGACCAGGTTAGGAACATTCAAATCAACGACGACGATCTAATGATAGCCTTCGATGTAACAGCACGAAATAATGAAGAAAAACACCTGAAAACCATTCTTCAAAAGAACGGCTATCCAATCAATTTCATCAAAAATTACCAGTCGCACACATCATCAGAAACGAAATCAGGTATGAAAATCAACAAAAGGATCACCCTACCATACATAAAGGGCATATCGGAAACGACAACAAGGCTGCTGAAAGCCTTCGGAATAGGTGTAGCCCACAAACCAACAAAGTCCCTCCACTCAATCTTATGCAAACCAAAAGATGAAATAGCAAAAGAGGACAAAACAAGCATCATCTACAAGATAAATTGTACCAACTGCAACAAACACTATATTGGACAAAGCGGACGCCCCCTGCACCTTCGCCTACATGAACACCAATTAGCAGTCAAACGTAACGACATTTCTTCACTCATATCAATACACGTGGACAACTACGGACATACATTCGACTGGGAAAACGTGCAGATTTTGGACAGAGGCAATTCCAAAAATACCAGAGAATTTTTAGAAGCTTGGCACTCAGGTCAATCAGCAATAAACAAACATATTGAAATCAATCCAATCTATCAACCAATCAAGAAAATTATGCAGGAAGATAGGAACAAAAATCAAACCAATAGGAGATACAACCAAAACAAAGAAATAAACAATGACAAATTTAAGGTCAATAAGAACCAATCAACATCGAGGTGCAGAGGACAAGCTGTGAATCACATGTGGAGAAATTCAAACACTCCACTTCTACCCGAAGTTTGTGCTGATGATGTCGTTCAGAAGGACGATGAAAGCTCCACGACCAAACCACCCAGCTCAGAGAACAAACCAACATCAAAATCACCCACCTGAGCTACAAATCTTCTTCCACTTAGTCTTTCTTTTTGACATACTACACTAGCGCAACAACTAGAAACAATCACGAATATGTCTTAAAAGAAATATATATATATCAATCAATTTTGACGAATACAATGAACGTTAATGACTTCATTTCACAATTCACCAATTGATTAAGATAAACAGCAACTGACAACTGATTTAATTATGATTCTTAATGTTTGGAAAAATTATTTATAATATAACTAGATTTACTGGGTCATAAAATATATTTATTAATAGTCACATGATGAGTACATTGATTTGATATAGAATGTTAAGAATTTCATTATGGATACTTATATATGATAATCAGCTTATACAATAATTTCTAGACCATATTCAACTTGATTGCAAAGTTTGATTGAACAAAAAAAGCGATCTGTGTCTGTTAAATGAATGGACTGATGTTTAACAATTATCCAAGTTAAAAAGTGTATTATACTGCAGTAAATGATAAATTATTTTAAATGTAAACCTCTATGGTTATTAAATAATTCTGGTTGTAGCTCTTCTGGGGTTACTGACGATTCCAAGCTCGAGCAAAAGAGGAGGGTTGGGCATAGGGTCAGCAACCCAATCCCTAAGAAAACAACCTTGCTATAAAATGTTAACCAGAATATACAAATTAAACAATTTAAACCCTGCCCTCCGAGTTGAACGGTATTCATTCAGAAGAATTATGACGGCTCATGGTGAAAGCCGATATTCTACGGAAGTCACGAGGACGACGCCCCTTCAAACAATCACAGCAACAATTAATATAGGTACATGGAATGTTCGGACAATGTAAGAGACCAGGAGGACCAGTTAAATAGTTACGGAAGTCAGGAGATATACTTGGGGGTGCTCGGATTCAGTGAAACCCATCGGACACAAGCATCCAGCTGGAGAGGAAATTAGGAATAGACGTTGGAAGTGTATAAGACAAACAATGAGGAGATTACCAAACTGAATCAAGAGGCAAGCGCTAACTTGGAATCCTGAAGGGAAAATGAGAAGAAGGAGACCATAGAGCACAATGCACCAGGGCAGAGTTCGATGGAGAATACTGTTGGGCAGCCTATGCTCCTCCACGTGAAGTAGAAGGCGTGAGTAAGTAAGTATGGAACTCCTCTACGGCTACTTCCAGTTCTAGGCCAGGGTAAAGGAGGAGGGTTGAGGGCAGGGTTGCCATCCACACTTCCAAAAAGAAGCTCCTATACAAAATTTATAATCAGAAGAAACCAATTAGACTGTTTTCCGAAAGTTGAGGGGTCTTTACATAAAAAAGTTAAGATGCTTCGTGATAAAAGCCGAAAGTCTTCAGTAGCAACGAGGCTGTTGGCCCTTTAGACATTTACCGTAACAATAAATATAGGTACGTGGAATATACGGACAAGCTGGAAGATTGAGAGGATCATTCAAATACTGGCGGAAATGAATAGATACAACATGGGTCAACTTGAAAGATATGAGAACCGTCGACTACGACCTAAACGGAAAAGAATAATTTCAGAACACCAATCCAATCACACTTGGTGGAGAAACTCTGTGACAGGTAACGACTTTCACATACTTAACCGGCATCATTGATAAATAAGCTGTATGTTATCCAGATGTGAAGGTACAAACTGGCAAGGCGAGTACAGCATTCCTACAAACGAAGAACATCTGGAACTCAAAACAGCTGTTAGACAATATCGAATTCAGAATTTTCAATACAAACATTAGGACAGTTGTGTTGTACGTCGCTTAAGCTTGGATAACTATTACAACCATCATCAAAAAGTACATGTATTGATAAACCATTGTCTACGCAAGATACTTGATGTCGTTTGGACGGATAGCATTAGCAACATGCGACTGTGGGAGAGAATAAATAAGCTGGGAGTTGAGGAGGAAGTTAAAAAAAAGTAGTGGAGGTGGGTAGTATACAATTTACGGAAACCGTCAAACTGTATAATCAGGCAAGCTCTAACTTGGAATCCTCAAGGCTAAATGAAAACAGACAGACCAAAGAGCACATGGTGTTGGGCATTGGAGACAGATATATCTAGATCATGAATAGTAGTTGGTGACAGCTGGAAACAAGAGACCAGGAGAGAGTTGCTTAGAGATCCATTATTCAGCGCCTATATATCTCCCAGGAGGAGTAACAGGTCTAAGTAAGAAGGTATATGTAGAACTCCATTTTCAATGTCTATTCCGTGAATAAATAATCATTAATATAAACAACCTAGTAGTACACATTTGAAACGAAAAAGAATCACTTACATCCATAACAAACAACAAAATATTCCTCAATTTTAGTATTTTTATTCTTTTTTGTAATAGAAGATGTATAATTTGTTGGTTGAAAAGCTATTTGATAGATTGGACCTTTACGTGGCATTGGAACAATCGCACTATCACCGGATCGACTAGCTGATATAAAATAAAGACCTTGGTCCCCATAATAACTTTCATCACTAAGCTTAGAAAAAGAAATAAAGAAAACGAAATGAGAATCTGAAAAAAATTGAGAGAAAACCAGATACAACATTCAGCTTAGTGAGTAATCCATTCTGCAACAGATCGAAATCAGTGAGAGAACCATTAATCGTTTTAAATTTATTTTTTGCAGGATTTCTTGAAACTGTACAACTATGACAGGAAATAGCATGAAAATTGAAACATTTAGGTCTTGTGGCAATATGTAATGCTTATGTACAAAGTGGCAGGTTTAGTACGAAGCTGAATGACTAGATTTAAAAGTAAAAACAACTAAAGTTACTGTAGCCAATGCTTGAATATCTGACCAAATAAAGGGTTTATAATCAACTGTCTAAATGATAATTACAATTGCGATAACATTTATCTTTTCTGTTTTTGCTCTCATTAAAACTATACAGATGGTAAACACGTGACCATTATTAAACTTTGTAACCTTTACATCATATGACCGTGGACGGAAGACCAATAAGATAAATAAATTGTAAACAAGATACGCAGAATAAATTCCTAATGCTTGAAAATAAGAAAGTACAATGTTTCAACAAGAAGATTAGACAAAATACTGAAAAAAATTTATGGATCCCAAGTTTCAAGTAACTGTTTACTGACGGTAGATAGTAGACGATAGTTTGAAAATAATAGTTGATATTTAGCAGAATGTTATAGTAAAGAAATGAGATATGCTAGATACTGACACTGATCTAGATTATTAGAAGTACCTTGAATGAACATTAACTTAACATGATAATTAAGATTGAAAACATTGTTATAACTAGCAAATATGATGATGCATATGAGTTTTTCGCTTGTGGATATCTATTAACAATAAACAATAACCTAATGAAAGGCTAGCCATCTTTAAGAGTTTCGAGTAGAAAATCTGATAAAGTTAATACTATACTACTGTTTCAGTTAACCAGGTTTATGAATATTGTAGTTACTATACATGATCTGATATAACACTAATAACGTTGTCATAGCATAGAGAAACAAATTAATATTTAAATTCTTTGATAATTACTGAATTGTATTTTTGAAGTAGGCTTCATCATTTAATCTGATTTAAATAGTGGCGTAATATAACTAGTCTTCATAATGAAAGCACAGTTGAAAACCACGTAAAGGACAGTAATCGGATTTCTACTGTCATATATAAACATCAAAGCTTTAATACCTTTTTATAATAATTGGCAGAAATCTAATGGTAATTACTAATGAAAACAGTTTATATTAACACTAATCATTATTATTAAAAAATAAGAAAGTACTGAATAACTATTTCAACCCCAATCATTTGTTTACTAGTATGTGATATCACGTTATTCTCCCGAGGACAGTGCGACTCCGTAATCTAAGTGTTGTGATCATAGTGAAAACCGAAGGTCATATGTTCGGTTCTGTGAGAGTTAATGGATAAACACTAATACTCTCAGTGCTTTCTGATTTTCAATGATCTTTCAACTGTTATCAGCAACCAAGTTTATACCTAGTTTACGTTACAACTATTGAGCTAGAAAAATTCAGTGGATCAAAAGTTCGTCGTATAAACAAATAATTACTCAGTGTGTAAATATTGGTTTCAATCACATGTGGTCCATTTTATGCGAGAGAATACAACTATGATTGATTGTTGAACACGATGAAAGCATGAACCAAATTGAACAGGTGACGAAGTTATGATATGTAAGAATTTCAAGAAATAAATGGAGAAGAGATTTAAATAAAAGTGAAATAAAGTTCTTTTCAAAGTCATTAAGATAATAGAGGCTTAGAGTCGAGGATGGTATACATCATGGACTGATATCATGTAAATTATTACTAAAAACCGAGGAGCATTGAACACCTGTTTCGTCCTGATACAGGACTTCTCAACAGTTTTACATCCACGGCAGCAAACCCAAAATCGAAGCTTGAATATGAACCACTGAATGTCAAATCGGTGGCCTAAAGGTTAAGAGTTTGTCACGAGATCTAAAGGTCCTGGGTCTGATTCTTTTAGAGTCGTGTATTCACACTGTTGATTTCCATCCTAGGACAGTACAGTCCCTTCAGTATCTCCTGGTTCTCATTGATTCTCTGACTGTTGTCCTGACAAATACCACATATAGATAAAAGTACACCATAGAAATCAAGTGTTATAAAATCAGATTGTTGCCTCAATAAATAATTTCACTTCAACTTGAAAAAGCTTTTGTGGTTTATGGAATCATTTACAAAAAATCGGTAAAAAATTCCGCTGATGACTGAATAGGTAATATTTTCGGATAAATCTTCATTTAAAGAATGAAGGGGTATTTAGCTACGGAACTAATATCTAACCAACAGTGGAATATTACTAGCAGTGGGACCCAGAACAAACGTTTCGTCCTGTTTGAGATTTATCAGTTGGATATACCTGGATCTCGCTGGTAGTCACATTTCATTTATTCTACATAAACGTGTATCATGAAAGTTAAGTTGAGGCAATTCGCACACGATGCACATAAACTGAGACTGATCAAAATTCAGTCGACCTATCAACAACAGGGTGAATCAGACCATTAAAAATCCTGTAGATTAGTCTGTTAACGCTAGATGATAAAACTTTTTAAATTTGCGATGGATAGTAGATCTAAACTTAAGGCAATTTAATACTCAAGGGCTTACCGATTTGGTAAACATACCAGAATAGTAATATAAACCAGTTAAGTGATAGAGAATATAATTAAATAATTTTTATTTGGAAATTAAAGTTTTATCGGCTGGGGTTGCCTGATAGAATAAAAATTATCTTCGGCCATTAATCTAGAAGAAGTTAAATCCAGAATGATTAAAAGTGAGCACACGTATGAGAAAAATTCGTGAAAAAGTGGTTTACATACCACAACTTGCCGTTAGTTAGAAAAGCATTGAAATTCAATTAACACTGGACAGCCACTATATCCTAGCATACAATTTCTCGGCAGTGAGTAACCACAATCACGCCGAAATCGAGACCATGACCTTCAGGTTTCACGGTGTGGTTAATCTTTAAAATGTTGAGTCAAAATACATTGGTTTACATTTATAGGTTCGATTAATTTTCGACATTCCCCAGCTATCGTCTAATGCAGTTGTTGGGTAACTAACTTACATTCGAAATAAATGAAAATTGTTGGTTATAGCGTCTCACTAAAACTCCGAAGAGCATCTCTTAAAATTAGTTACTAATGAGAACCTGATTATTATTAACATTATAAGCTGGTTTGTGATGTAAACTCCAGAATTTCGCATAAACCCCTTACATATCAAAAGTTAAGTAAACAAACAATATGGTATGTAAAAAAAGGAACGAATACTTATGATAATACTTATGAGATGCACTACTTTTGTTGAAGTAAGAATGAGTAAATCAGTTCCTCTATCATTCCATAATAGTCGGACTGTATCAGCACGAAAAAACGATTTGTTTGCAGTATGAATCAGTTGATTATCACGGCATTGATAAACTCTGACAAAAGAAGGTTGGTTCTACAGGAAAAAAACGATGAGAAAGCAAAATATTAAAATTTTGGAAATATATTAAATGCTAACATAAGATACAATTTCTAACAAACATACAGTTTAAACTGCCCCGGATTCTAAGCTCTAGATTAATTATTTATTTAAAGAAGGAATCTATATTTATTGTGAAATTATAAAACTGAACTGCTTTCTCATTTGATCTCCAATTGTTCTATCAATGCCATGCTTTTAGTGTACTCGAACTCTTCACTCCGTCCGACAACTTCGAGGTCACGTCCTGCAACATACTACTTACAAGCAATCTTGTGGGTAGCGTCCACTACACCGAAAAGGGACAAGTTCTGATAATAGCTGGTGACTATCCAATAATGAATGATTATCTAGAACCATGAACCTAAGTGACCAAACTATTTACTGACTACTATCAATTTGATGAATTTATCTATAAAGCCTTTAAATCTTTATATAAATTAGATTGATATTTAGTGACCAAAAAAATAATATAAGGTTAGCTCTCATCATTCTTAGATGTATTTCAGCATAGAGCTTTAGCATCCAGTATTGCCATTCACTTAGTACATTTTTATAACTTCACCGAATGACTAATCACGTTTGATTAAAAAAGAACAGAAACCTAAGATTGTTTTCTTGATGGTCCCACTATACAATAGAAATCATAAAAAGATATCTATGATTAGATAACTATAACGTTTAACTTTAACGACTACGCCTTACAGATATAGAGTAGGATAGAAAGTACTGATGAACGAAGCAAGCACTCTTGAACAAGCAACGGGTGCATAGTTTTTGGTAGAAGTGTTGCGACACTCATCAAGGGGGAAAAACATAGCCTTGAGTCAACAGTATCTTTGCGTTCTGCAAGAAAACAGAATAGTAAAACAAGACAACTGGTATTAAATCTTGTTCTAAGTAAATCGTTCTGGTGAAAGCTTATAGCAGTAGATATCTCTATATCCGCCATCGGGATAGACGTTTTGCATGTCAATTCAATAGTAAGTCCTAAGCGTAGCAAGTTAGTCACTTCTAAAAGAAAAGCGATAATTAATAAAGTCAAATAACCGACTCGGTATTCATGAGTTTTGTAAAAGCAAACAGATCTCAAGATTCTTTGTTTAACCTGCTAGAAAGGTTTCCGAGGTCAGATAAAGTCTATGTATCTCAATTCAGAGGTTAAACACTTTGTTACCGACTACATCATTACGAAAGGTCCACTTCTTAATTCTAAACCACTTAGATTAGGTCCGAAGAGGCTACACATAAAGAATTCGGTAAGCTACTGAAAATGAGTAGAATACGTCCTTCGAACAGCCTATGGTCTTCTTCTTTACATATGGTGCCGTAGAAAAATGGAAAAAAATCGGTCATGTGGCGATTACCGCACAATAGCGGACAGATATTCTACATCACACATTCACAATTTCAATATCAACATGCACATAACTCCTATCTTCTCCAAAAGTGGATTAGTTTAGGCGTACTATCATATTCCGATATCACCAAATATTCCGAAGACAGCAGTGACAATCCCGTATGACCTACACAAATTTTTCAGAATACAGATTGACCACGCCAATGGAGTGAAAATATTTTAGCGATTTATTGACGAAGTCAGTAGTCGGATTTATTAATAATAAGCGAAACGGCTGAGGAACCTATACTAAACCTTAAATATTTATTTGAAAGTTTGAGTGAATATTTTATAGTGATCAAACTCTAAAACTTTGGATTTTGGTAAAGAATCATTAAAATTCCTCGGATACATAATAGCTTCTCAAGAAGTTACACCGGTACCAAAGAAAGTAAAGATGATAGAGGAGTACCCTATGCAAGATTATTTTAAATTACTTAATAAACTCCTTGAATACATTAAAATATGGAACATTTAATTGTTTAGAAACTATCTTATTTAAAGGAAAGTAGATTGCATATGAACGCATCGTTTTGTCATTTACCTTTTCCCCGGGTATATACACTGCAAGATTTGGTTGACTTGAAGTACTCATAGAAAAATGGCGGATACCTTTTAGTGATAATTTAGTATACGGTTTTTCAGCTGAAAAAGAAGTTTAAATTGAACACGTTAAATATGCAAGAACATTTTCAAATTAAACAAGTAGAATTACACGTAGCATTCAAAATTCTTACTTGAAGTTTAGCACATTTTAAGAACCCTTATGTAAAGGATTTCAGTTTTTTAGTGGAGTTTCGTTCTCTGAGCTGGATGGTTTGATCGTGGAATTTTCATTGTTCTTCTGAACAACATCATCAGCACAAACTTTATCCGAGTTACAAATATTCGCCACCACCTCAAAAGATCTTAGTCAATAAACTTTACTGAAAAATCTAACTTGATTGGGAATCAGAGAAGTGTACAACGAAACATGTATTCAAGGTTTACAATAAAATTAATCCAATTTTATAACAGAAGCTTTATTTACTTCTTCTAGTTTATCGGTGATTCTTAATTGATTTGATGGGTTTGAATTTTTAATAAGTTGAATATATATAAAATTTGTGACCATATATTAAACTTCTATTATCTTATAAATATATGTTACCTTCCAGAAGCCAAGGATACAAAATATAATAAATTTTCTTTAAAATAAACGAAAATTCGTATGCATGAAATAAGAGTACACATAAACTAATTTCAAACTATCGTTTGTTTGACTGTTGGAAAAGGAGAAAATAAAAGAAGTATGAACTATGCGAACTTATTTTCTGATAAGAATCAATCTGTATATTTCTAATGGTGATTAATTTAATAACTGAATGATGATAATTGTAAGCTGTCAGTAATTATTTTAATATATTTTACCCACTAATATTTACAGTCATTTAAGTGTGTAACCAAGACACCCTTGTTATGTAATTTATTAAGATTCGTACATTGAGTTATCTTTTATTTACAAAATTTACTTATAAATACTCATGTAAATCATGAATGTTAATAATAAGTGCTTGAAACCACTAAATTGAACTTGTGATAATCTGGTTGGGGATGTAGGAAAGTTGACCGTGAATACGGTTTGTGGAATTAGAGTTTTAGTGATGGATATAAAATGGTAATAAGTACTACCAGATTTTTACATGGAAATAATTCGAAGGAAATTATGTAAAAACAATAAAAAATATTGTTTTCTTTTAAATTATCGATTTTGGATGGTCACAAAAATAGCATCATCGGCATTTGTCGCGATTCCAAGACTAATATAACGTAACTCAGTAAGCTCTGAGACACAAATTTTCCTGGAGGTCTATTATTATAATTGTTATTATTATTATTATTTAAAGACATATATTGGTACAAGGAAGCACCAGATATATATGCGTCTCACAAATCTCATTCGATTTGTGTGAGGGCTGTGATACTGCCCAGGTGCCCAAACTGATGCAGGTGGTTTTCTTAGGGGGCCACACCCGGAGCCTTTGACCTGAATGTCTGATCCACAAGGCAGTAGAGCATCGTGAGGAGATGCAGTCCCATGGTAGCCGGTGATCAACGGTTGATTCGTACGCCATTTGTCCCCTCAGGATACTGGAGCCCATGTGCACCACTGGTTTGGAATCAGGGTTTTCCAACTCCCCTAGGTGGACCCTCCATGTCCACCAACCCTGTTAAAGCGCCGGACATTCACTTTTCGTCCTCTCACTTTCGTAAACAACAGTAATGCCACGAGAAGGCAGTGAGTAGGACTTCCCTGGCAGAGGCTATATACGCGTGGCTATGTGAGAGCATTTCGAGAGGGAGGGCGGACTCTCCCCACTCTCGTCCGTACCAGGGCATTTGGGGGCTAGTTGTACTACATACTGACCTAATAAACCTGTATAGATAGATAGAATGTGATTTAGTTCATAGCCGAGTGTTCTCATCACCAGAAGTACTAACCCACTGGTTTGAAGAAATATTTAACTATTTAAATATTAACTGAGGTTAATCTGTGACTAATGTCACCTGTAAATTAAGCGAATCTTCATACGCTAACTGCACCAAAGAATATTCTTAACTATATTTTTAGAACACTACGATCAGATAATTAGGTATAAAATAATATTATTGATAAAGTAACAACTGAGATGAAGAATGAAATAAAATAGAGGTGAGTGGTAAGAGATGATCAAGACGAATGAATTTAATGCAGTAAAAAGACAAGACATGTAAGCTATCAGAAAGAGTGGAGTCTATTTACAAAAAAAACTTATGTTTGTTTACAAAAATAGACAGCAATGACATTCACGAAGTTTATTCAGCAAATTATATTCACAATAATAATATGTTAGCCGTGGGTACATTTATTAGTAAGTAGGAGTTTTCTCATACTTTATTTTAACTTAAGTTTAATAAGATAGGTTAGCGGTTATCAAGCCGACTGAAAATTTAAAAAATAACTTCGCAAAGAAGCGAGAGACAGATTGATCGTGTGGAAGACTTGAAGTTCAGATGGGTACTATTGATAGTGTGATGCTCTCTGATCTTGGATCAGTTGCAAAACTTTCATTGTCATTTTGAACACTAAAGCTGACTTCGAATGAAAGACAACAAAACCTACAAAGACATTAAAGCATAGTCAAGCTCGAAAGAAAGAATTATTTTGGCACATGTAGGATTATTAAAAAGCTCGCTTGAATTAAGCCCTGACAATGTTGACCAGGATAGTAATTAAAACTCTAAGACTAAACTATCCAGTTCAGATAAAGCAAAAACATAAGAATGGATTATTCAGTGTTGTTGGCATGAGAATCAAAATAAGCTTACATGGTTATCTAGAGAAAACCTCGATATTGCAAAACTAAAAAAAAGTAGGAAAGCAAGGGTAGCTAGAGTGATTTAAATTGGCAAACTGATGAAGATCAAGAATGAGGGGAATAATAAATTTTGAGAATCGGTGATGGAAATTAGAAGTCATTTATCGATGACTGGTCTTACAAAGGTATAATTAAAAGGGTGGAACCCGTTATATTTTTTCAGTTTCTGAATAAATCTTTCAAGACATACAAACAAAATGATTACGTCAAAATATCAAAGATGACATCAACATGGATGGATTTAAAAGTAGTAGCAGGAAATCTCACTACTCACTTACCTAATCAATCTACAGGTAAAGTGTTTATATAAAACCTTTTCGCCCATAAAAGTCATTTTGCATTATACATTACCGCGATTCACTATAGTTACATATTAGAAAATATTTGGAATACAATCTAATGGAACATAAGAAATCATCAATCAAGTATTGATTACTCTATTTTCGAAAACATTTTATGAGTGTTGATAAATCGCCATGTAAAACGTTACGCTACTTGTTAGTAATGTAAACAGTATAACTAAAATAAATTGATAGCACACATAGCATGCACATTGACGTGAGAATTTCGGGTTGGAAATGTTTATCGAATTTTTTTTAAAAACGCAGTGATTTAAAAGTTAATCCAAATTAACTAACAAAAATCAGTCAATACTTGTTCGTGAAGGTCGACAGCAAACGCTACAATGATGATCAAATCAGAACTAAGCCAACAGCCTGAAACACGTTAGCAATAAACATTAAAATAACCGTTGTTTAGAGAAACCTTCGACAAGATTTCCCAACAAATGTTACATCGAGAAAATACTTTAAAATAGAAAACTTTTATCGCCAAATAAAATTAGCAAGTTACTTTATACCACTCCTAGCCATTCGAGTGGAGCTGTGGCATTTATTTTAATGCTTCAAAAACGTGGGACACTTGATAAAGAATTCGAAAGTATCATTATGGGATACTGTGCAATTACTATACAATGCTATTGGTGAGTAACGGTTTCTCACTCGATGTCTGAGAAGCTACTCTTGAAATCGATCACTAGTTAACGTATGATCGTCATTCGTTTAAAGGATTAGGGACTATTTTCATTTTCTACTGCAAGAGTCAAGTGATTTAACAAAATTAAGTACAATTTTTACACGAAAACTCACAAAATAGATTGTTTGAATACATATGAATTTCTCCATTAACAAAAATCGAGCAGACGGATGAATCAGAATTCCACTGTGGTTGCCTAGGAAATTTAATAAATGAGGGAATCAAGAAATTATATCAAAGATAGCGAGGTTATCATGCGGACAGATAAGTTGGTCATGACACCACAGTCTACTCATAGTCAACATACCTTTCCGAAAAATTGTGGCCTCATAAACAAAGGTTCACACGACTCGTACAATTTACATATTTGAATCACTTAGTTTACAAATAGCTCAGTGAAATACCAATAAAAACAATTCAGTTCATGTTACAATAAAGAAACAATTTATATGGATATGCAATAAAAACTAGAGTAAAAAAAGATGACAGAAAATGAAGCTCTTATTAGAATATCTGAAGACAACAATTCTTTCAACATAGGAGTTTTTAGAAGATATTTGTGGATTACTAAAAGTTGACTACAGATGACCTAGAAGAATAGCTCGTACATGTTGGGATTATTGAATTAGCAATTCTGAAGTTAGACGCAAAGTACTAGATGAGGATGACAAGTCGATTGGTAGGGCAGTGGATATTAATCTATTGAGATTGTTTAAACATGTGACGTGTGTCCATCCACTGCCTAACTTGATGTATGACGATAGATAGTAAGGGAATAGGTTGGAAGATGTTGGTGAGCAAATCAAGATACGACATCAGTTCATGAAATCACAGGCTGTTGAAGTGAGTTGTGTGGGTAGCTTTAGACTACCTGGTTGGGGTCCGCGCGATTATCGTAACATATTATCAAAGATTTTAAGTGACACAGTTCACAACCACTTGAAATAGGGAAGGTGAATCCGCCTTTTTCCTCTCCTTAGGTTTCAAGTTTTAAAATTACATGACAAAAACTTTATCATCCCACTTATCCATTCTTTATCGAAATATATTCTTGTCCCTAAACATTTTCATTACCACAAGTATTATTGCTACCTCTACTACTCTGAGATTTGCGTTGGTAATTTCCTCTCAATGTGCTTGTAGTGTGCCAACTTAAACCGATGCACACAAGTTCTACGTTGTGTATGGCTGACTGTTACATTTCTTAGTTAACAATAGTATGCATCACATATGAATTTTCATTATCAGTAATCTAATTATATTAATGCATAAAGGTTGCCTAATGACTGATTTTATGTAAGAAGAATGTCAAACAAAATGTTATAGCTTATCTAATCATAACAGATGAAAAAGGAAACATAAATTACTGGCTGCATTTTTATTTGCGATAAAGGATGGAAAGGTTGTTTTCAGTTCACTGAATAATGAGAATAATTCGTATCAATAAAAAAAACTTACCATCCATCACCTCTTCGGAAAATATATTCTTTGAGCTTTGTTTTATTGATCATGTCATACACAAATATATTTGGCGAACCAGATGGATTTTCATTGTCGACTATTTTTCATTAAAAAAATGTTTATAAACTAAAGAATAAAACTTACTTTTAAATGACGTGTAGATGAATCCAAACTTCCCACATGGTGATAGTTGAATCCGTGAGGCTGGCTCAATAGGGATAGTGGAAACGATAGATCGATCATTGACGTCAAGTAGAACCACACTGTGACTTGTAAAGCATAACTGAGTAATCCTTACCTAGTTTGGTCAAGATAACCCATCCACATGCTTGACTTCGCGATAGATAAACATTTCACAGTAGTAGATGATTTACTAAAACGTCTTTATGGAAAATATTTAAACGTACTATTCCAATTGAATAATTTCTTTATTTTCATTTAACTCATATATCCTTAATCCATCACTGGCCCAACCTTGAATACAAGTAAAATTTCAATGGATAACTTACTAACAAATACCATGATTGTGAATGAGTAATAAATATAATCTTCTGAATACCAACTACTACCTGGAAGTTGAATTGGCAAACAAGATTATCAAAAGCTTATCCAGAACAAAAACGATGAGGTGATAAGGAAAACAATGTATGAGAACATGGTGGAGAGTAATTGTAATTTAGTTACTTATAGCCACAGAAAAGTTAACCAAGTCATTCAGTGGTATACAAAATAAATATCAATTAGATCTGAAGATTTTTAATGTCCTAACATATATCTAAATAATTTATGTTAGGATAAAAGTTCTTAGCAACTTGAATGTCAATACGTTTTAAAAGAGTATGAAGATGGAAATAAATGTTAAAGTCAATCGCGGTTTTATGAGTAACTAAGAAATGATTTCCAGTTATTGAATGAATGTAAGAATTGAATAAATCTATGCCATTCTTAAAGAATTTTATGATTGTACATATGTTTTAACTCTTTCATTTAAAGCATCCTGAAAACATCAGTTATCAACTATTTACTTCACATACAATCATCCCCAAACGCCCTGGTACGGACGAGAGGGGGGAGAGTCACCTCTCCCCCTCTAGAAATGCTCTCACATGGCCACGCGTAAACAGCCACTGCCAGAGGAGTCCTACTCACTGCCTTCTCGTGGCATTACTGTTGTTTACGAAAGTGAGAGGACGAAAAGTGAATGTCCGGCGCTTTAACAGGGTTGGTGGACATGGAGGGTCCACCTAGGGGAGTTGGAAAACCCTGATTCCAAACCAGTGGTGCACATGGGCTCCAGTATCCTGAGGGGACAAATGGCGTACGAATCAACCGTTGATCACCGGCTACCATGGGACTGCATCTCCTCACGATGCTCCACTGCCTTGTGGATCAGACATTCAGGTCAAAGGCTCCGGGTGTGGCCCCCTAAGAAAACCACCTGCATCAGTTTGGGCACCTGGGCAGTATCACAGCCCTCACACAAATCGAATGAGATTTGTGAGGCGCATATGTATCTGGTGCTTCCTTGTACCAATATTTGTGTTTAAATAAATAAATAAAATAATATGAAGGCAGTAAGTACCTGAGAGAAATCATCAACTGTCAACCTTCAGCTGTATCATAACTTCCTCTCATTTAATAGCTTTCTACGCAAAAATCAATATCGGCAAACTTCATGGATTGTTAAGAAGTCTTCATCTTATTACGAGGTCTTTTGTTTTGGAATTTCTTCGGTAACTCAGTGGTTTAAAATGAATAATAAGTCATCACAACTAGAGTAAATAAGTCATTATTACTTCATTTTGTGACTGGTTTACCTACTTTACAGACCTTGGCCGAACTTTATAACTAACAATTTATTTATACACAGGTGATATATTGAGGATAACAAATCAACGAATAAAGCCTTCTGGTGTTAAGTTGGTGGGTTGTACAGTTTAATTTCTCCTAGATATGTGTTTTGTCAGGAGGCTAGTGATTAGGATTGGAGCAACATCTTAACAACAGTTAAGATTTATCTGTTCACTTGTCGTAAATGGCATGACAGTACACACTAAACGAGATCATAGCTTCTGAAAATTTACATTGCATTGGAGAAAATGAAGTGTTTCTGAAACGGGTATTTGGATCTAATTTCCCATTGAATTCGGACGAGCACATGTTGGTTGTTTGAACTCATAAATATTGGTACAAAGGGGCACCGAATACATATGTGCCATACAAGTCATTTGATGTGTGTACGGGCTGTTAAAGTGTCCGAGTGCCCAAACCGAAGCAGGTGGTCTTCTTAGAAGACCATACCCTGAGCCTTTGACCTGAAGGTCTGATCCACAAGGCAGTGAAGCAAAGTTAGGGGCAGCAGTCCCATGGTAGCCGGTAACCTATAATCGGTTCATGTGCCATTTTTTTCTTGAGGATCCTGGAGCTCATGCCCACCAATGGTTTAGAATCAGGATTTCCAAGCCCCCTTACATGGACCCTCCGTGTACACCAAACTGGTTAAAACGCAGAAAATTTGTTTCTGTCCTCTCAATTCCGTAAGCAACACACCCGCCACGAGAAGGCAATGAGTAGGACTTCTCTGGCAGTGGTTGTTTACGCGTGGCCATGTGAGAGCATTTCGAGAGGGAGATCTGACTCTCCCCACTCTCGGCCGTACCGGGGCATTTGGGGCTATGTGATGGTTCCTCAGAATTTCAATTAATTCTTTTGGTTCACTATCGATCTTTGGAACTAATAACTATCGTATTTTTGATACAGAAATGCGTCCGCATGTGAATTACTGTGTATACCACATCACCAACGGTCGTATAATACACAATTATGTGAATCATGGTAACTTTTAAAGGCCCTCAAAAGATGTAACAGAATTTTAGGTAGCATATTTCGGATGAGTGAAATAACATTGAAATAACAGAATTTCAACAGTTAACTTATATGGAACTAAAGCGTTTAAAAAGTAGGTACTGTGTTATTATCAGGATATCCCAACATGAAAAAAAATTGGACGATTGGAACTCTTTTCTCCATCACAAATTGGGATGATAAGTAACGTGCCTGCACTATTCTGTGTCAACGTATTTTACCTGTATGATCTTCATATCTCATTATCTAAGGCAACTGAAGACATGGGTTTTAAGAAGCTGCGACCAAATAAAATCAGGTTAAGATTCCGCTCTCTTAATCAGTTAATTAACTACTGAAACGCCCTACCAAAACAACAGATATCAGCTTTATCAGTGAACGGATATACGAAGAAGTTTTATTTTTCCTTAGGGAACACTGGAAAGGCCTACCGTGGTTGTTGCTGAGGTTTAGAGACAGTGAAATTGTGTGCTAAACATAAAAACATGTCGTTAAACTGCTTATTCAGCAATAATATAACAGTGTCAGTTCCTAACTTTTACGTTATACATTACTCAGTGTAATTTATCTATATTCCCAATATTGTTTAGCAAGTTTATTTGTATTAATAGACTGCTGGGTAAGTGTGAAATACATCAAAAGGTCAAGTAATCAAATCCCTAACGATCTCAGTTGATCAGAACATGTATGTGGTGTATTAACACGTAACGCACGCAACAAAAACTTTGCCGTTTCGATGTACATTTTTCTACTGAAATCCTACCAGGTGGTTTAAGACGTTCTACACGGAATACAAGAAGCTATCTCTTAGCAGGCTTCCGTATTTGGTAGCAGTGAATCACTGATGCCTCTAGACAGGTACTTAGGTATGTTATCAATAAGAGAGGAAAAAGAAAAAAAGGTTGGTAAATCATAGTGAGATACTGCCCTTAGTCCCTAAGAATATGTCAGGTTCTATCTTAAAGGACTCTTGGGGAGTCGTTTGGACTAGCTCAGCCGGCAGTGGATTCCAGCATTTGACTGTTCTTACGGAGTAGAAGGTGTGTTTCAAGCCCGTTATACTGTGCTGTGTTTCCAGTTTCTGGGTGTTACTCTTATCTTTATACATCAGTCTTTAATCTGTTCTCTCATTGGTTGTAAGCAAAGACAATCAATAATTTATCCACAATCCATTAACATATATATATGGATTTTTAAAACTCATGGACACACTGACATACTCACTCACTTGTTTTCCCTATGTGCTTTCTATCTGTACGCTTACGAATTTTTTACCGAACTTCAACAATAAACTACCTCTATAGCTGGTGTTCAGGCTTTTGAATAATCTCGAGTAAACCCATAATTCTACTACGAGACTTGGCCTATATTAAATATTCAGTTAACGGGATATTATTTGTTTATTGGAGTCAGATATATAGGAATGAATCCCCTACAGGGTACTGCGATTCCCACTACACCAAGACAGTGTTCAGGTTCGCTTCTGAAAGTCATGTGGAGTTGCAGAGGAAGCTTTCATAAGTATAATTAGTTTGTGTCGATTGAAATGTCCGAGAGTGCTGTACTCCCTGAATTTCATCGGCTGAGGTCCATGGCGAAGCAGAAGATACAAATGCCAGAAATTTTCGGTAAGTTTGAACTATAAATTTCCTGCAATGTTAGATCTTTTTTAGACTGTTTCTCCAGGCAATGCTACGTGTTTGGCTCAAATTAAATTTGAACGTATATCAATTCAGTCTACAACCCTTCGTTAATCTACGAATTTGATCAACATATTTCAATTACTTTGGAGCAAGAGTAACCCAGGCGAGTTTCATAACTGTGTTAAATAATTTCGTATAATATTTATGATGTCTAATAACATTTCGCGACTATTTTCACGTAAAGTAGTCATATATTGTCACTGCCGTCAAATTTTATTCGAAACTATGTACATTTATGACTCGTAAGTCAACATATTCCGAAAAAACGTATTTCATGTACACGGGCAATCTTAGTCCATGTCTTAATGAGACACTTCGTCGTACTTGATGTCACTTAGCGCTAAATAATATGCTCTTTTACGAAACGATCACGTTATCTAAACCTAAACATTATTTACATTGCTGGTTACCATTTAAACTAATGTTTACTATGCGCTTTGTATTTACTGTTATCTCACACAGTAAATCATGGCTCGATTTACTTATTGCACGAAAGTCACTTTAATCCCGTCTTCAGCTTATTCACATGCAGTACGGGTTTGGAAAATATCTAAACGTCTACTGAAATTTTCCACGAACCCCACGATAGTCTTCGTATATGTTTGCTATTGCACATCCATTATGCTCGTTTTTTTTATTTATATAAAAAAAACCCATTTTTCCCGATCGCTTTTACGCTGTTTGTAAGTGTACTGGTTTATTTTTTTCCGTTCATCTTGTGTCCTTACGCAAGTACGAGTGTATTTTCGACATGCACTCTCACGTTTTATTTTTCCTCTTTTCCAGGACGACTGGAAAAGAACGACGAAGTTTCACAAGGAACCGAAATTTTCATTGTACTATATTTACTTATTTGCTATGTTGTACATTCTGATCCCATAATTTAAGGAAAGACGACCAGATGCTGCTAAACGAAGCAAGCTATCAGAAGAGTGTTTACCAACGACAAACTCGTTGGGTTTAAACTTCTGGCTGATCACGTCTTAGGGTCATCACTACCTCACTAGGGGGGAGTGATCTATAGCCGTAAATAATTCCCCAAAATCAATAGCTCATTAAGTGTTCGACATTGGATGCTGACCTCGTTGTTTAAGTGAACTTGTTTAGCTGAAGGCTTTCGGTCATGCATCCGCACCAGATCACTTTGCAACTCGGCGTTGGACACAGCTCCTACGTTACAATAGCCAGTTAAGAACGAAGTCTCTCGATATATTGGTAACGAATCAAATATATCTGACTTCTGGTTTCTATTTGACTGGGAACGAACGATTATAGAAAATACTATTGGTTGCTAGTTGTAAAACTAGAATATCCGTTGTATCCTCAACTTTCTCATCTCATTTTAATTGCTGGTGCGCATCCATGACGTAAGTTTTCGAGATATGTGTGCATGAACTTATCTTGACTCCTTGAGTTAATTTTTAGTGAGAATGGTTTCATTAATCATTCCGGTCGCTCATTCGATCTGACTAAGTAGATGGAATAAATGACGTAGCGGAACCGTCAATATTCTCACTGCATAAAATATGTTGTTATGCTCGCAAACTAAGTGGACTAGAAGTTAAGTGATTTAAGGCTAATAGAACACGACTTATTTCTGAGCCTGTGATTAATCAGTTTACCTTCTCCTCACTAGTTTCCATAGTCATCCTTTCCGAGGTATCCGTAATTTATGAACAGGTGTCACGAAAGTTTAGTCTTGACGGTGGACTAAGGATGGTGTTTCATTCTTCGCCGATTGTTCAAAGCTCCGATGTTGAATCTCTTGATAGAGTTTCTTTTATTGGGTGCAAAATGTTCAGAATATTATATCTACAATGACAAACACTGTGACATTCATTTTTTTTAATTAGTGAACGAACAATAGAGGCATCACTAGCGAGATACTAGTTGGATGTTTTATAGTCGCAAGGGAATAACACTGATACTTTATTACATAGTACTTCGAGGTGAATGAACACCAGTTTCAAAGATTTTCGGTGGACGTCGAGTGGTGAATGCAAAAAATTGGGTTTAATAAATGTTGGTGAGGAACATAATTGGGACAACAAGGCCCATCCATCCACATGAGGTCAATGTGTAAACTTTCGTCTGAACATGTGATGTACCGTTTCTTCAATAATATTAGATTCAGTCTTCATAATTTTACGCAGCGGCTCACTTAACTAACACGGTCGAGATGCTTGGGTATCATTAATCCAAAAGTATTACTGTTGGTTATCCTTGTGGGTCTACATATAGATTATCGTTTACTGTTCACAGTGGATAACACCGCCAACAACTTTTAGAGTTAGTGCCGGGTTGGGCATGGGGTTACCGACCCCATCCCGTAGGAAAACTAACTCGCTAAAAAATGCTAACCAGAAAAAAATAATTCAAACCATTAAATCTCTGACCTAAAGGTTGAAGGAAGAATTATGACGCCTCTAGATGAAAGCCGAGATTCTTCGGAAGTTACGAGGCCGATGCTCCTTTTTAACAATCAGAGCAACACTCCTTATAGGTACACTGAACATCCGGACAATAAGGAAAACAGGGAAAGCTAGTCAAATAGGAATGAGAATGAGGAAATACAAATTGGCAGTACTTGGAATCAGTGAAACCCATTGGTCACCAGCTAGGCAGCAAAGGCTAGGTACTAGAGAGATGCTGCTGCACTCTTGTCCTGAAGAGGGAAATGCTCCACACACTCAGGGAGTTGCTCTAATGCTATTTAGCGAAACACGAAATGCACTTGTATGATGGGAATATCAGGGATCCAGAATTATCAAAGCATCATTCAAAACAAAGAAGAAGGGGACCACAATGAATGTTATCCAGTGTTATGCATCCACCAATCATAGCAACGACGACGATAAAGATAAGTTCCGCTCGAGGCTGTAATCAACCATAGCCAAGTGCCCAAAAAACGACCTCACTATCCTGATGGGAGATCTAAGTGCTAAAGTCTCAATGGACAAACACAGGATATGAAGATATAATCGAACGGCATGGACTAAGAGAGGGAAATGAAAATGTGGAGAGATTCTCCAGTCTATGTTCATTCGACAAATTGGTTATAGGCGGCACAATATTTCCACATAAACACACACAAAGCTACATGAGTCCCACCAGATCACAGCACACTGAACAAGATAGATCATATTTGTTTGAACGAAAAATTCCGAAGGACAATGCAAGATGTGAGAACCAGGGGAGGAGCTGACATAACTTCAGTACACCACCTGGTTGTGGCGAAGATGAGACTGAAGCTAAAGAAACACTTTACAACTAGACAAACAGCACTACAAAGGTTCAATACAGCCTTCCTTCGAGATATTGACAAGCTCAATGAATTCAAGATAACTCTCAACATCAGATTCCAAACCTTACAAGATCTACTCAAAGAAGAAAATTCCAGTCATTGTTGCCATTACTGCATCGACATTCACGAAGTTGGCTGCTGAAGATAATTGTTGTTCTGTATGTGTTTGTACCTCCGTGTTGTCAAAAATAATTTATTTTCCTGGAAGATAATTGTTGCTCATTTCACGAACTGACAGAACATGAGAAACTTCCTCGTTGTATGTCGTAACCCCCTTATTTATTTATCTGTTCATTGTTTATATCTCTCACTCCTGTTATTGTACCTATGAAATGTTTTGGTATTAACCTGTTCAAAATTTTCGGAGGACGGTCAACTGTTGGATGTTGTTAGGATTCTGAAAATAGTTTCACTCTTACTTTACTGAACGTTTTGAATTACTGATCGTCTTTTTGATTGGTTTCATTTTGTCCAACTGACTCCCCCACTACTTTGGCGGCCTACTTGAAAATCGGGGTGAACGGTTCCTGATATCAACACATTTCAACAACTTACCTGTATTTTGTTTGTTTTAACACATCATTATTTCTATTAATCGCAAAACCTATTTGGGCGCGTACAACTTGAGATATAGCGACAGTTTTAACGTTTTAGAGCGCATTGCATTACAAGTATCCAAATGTAGAAAGCTCATTGGATTCATAATAATAAACTTCAATATTATTGAATCGAGATTA